AGGGCGAGGGAAAGGAAGGCCGGAGAGGAGAAAGCAGACGGAACGCTGGAGAGAGGAGGAGGTTTCTCCCTCTCTTCAGTGTTCCGCCTGCTTCCTCATTCCCAGCCTTCCTTTCCCTCGCTCTACCTTCTTGAGCTTTCTCTTCTCCTCCCCAGCCTTCCTAGTGCTTGCCCTTCCTCCCCTCGCCTGGCGTTGCCTTCGCCTGTACTGCACGCAACTATAGTCCGTAGCAACTCAAGAAGATAGGGCGAGGGGAAGGAAGGCCGGAGAGGAGAAAGCAGACGGAACGCTGGAGAGAGGAGGAGGTTTCTCTCTCTCTTCAGTGTTCCGCCTGCTTCCTCATTCCCAGCCTTCCTTTCCTTCGCTCTACCTTCTTGAGCTTTCTCTTCTCCTCCCCAGCCTTCCCAGCGCTTGCCCTTCCTCCCCTCGCCTGGCGTTGCCTTCGCCTGTACTGCACGCAACTATAGTCCGTAGCAACTCAAGAAGGTAGGGCGAGGGAAAGGAAGGCCGGAGAGGAGAAAGCAGACGGAACGCTGGAGAGAGGAGGAGGTTTCTCCCTCTCTTCAGTGTTCCGCCTGCTTCCTCATTCCCAGCCTTCCTTTCCCTCGCTCTACCTTCTTGAGCTTTCTCTTCTCCTCCCCAGCCTTCCTAGTGCTTGCCCTTCCTCCCCTCGCCTGGCGTTGCCTTCGCCTGTACTGCACGCAACTATAGTCCGTAGCAACTCAAGAAGATAGGGCGAGGGAAAGGAAGGCCGGAGAGGAGAAAGCAGACGGAACGCTGGAGAGAGGAGGAGGTTTCTCCCTCTCTTCAGTGTTCCGCCTGCTTCCTCATTCCCAGCCTTCCTTTCCCTCGCTCTACCTTCTTGAGCTTTCTCTTCTCCTCCCCAGCCTTCCTAGTGCTTGCCCTTCCTCCCCTCGCCTGGCGTTGCCTTCGCCTGTACTGCACGCAACTATAGTCCGTAGCAACTCAAGAAGATAGGGCGAGGGAAAGGAAGGCCGGAGAGGAGAAAGCAGACGGAACGCTGGAGAGAGGAGGAGGTTTCTCCCTCTCCTCTCCAGTGTTCCGCCTGCTTCCTCATTCCCAGCCTTCCTTTCCCTCGCTCTACCTTCTTGAGCTTTCTCTTCTCCTGCCCAGCCTTCCTAGTGCTTGCCCTTCTTCCCCTCGCCTGGCGTTGCCTTCGCCTGTACTGCACGCAACTATAGTCCGTAGCAACTCAGGAAGATAGGGCGAGGGAAAGGAAGGCCGGAGAGGAGAAAGCAGACGGAACGCTGGAGAGAGGAGGAGGTTTCTCCCTCTCTTCAGTGTTCCGCCTGCTTCCTCATTCCCAGCCTTCCTTTCCCTCGCTCTACCTTCTTGAGCTTTCTCTTCTCCTCCCCAGCCTTCCTAGTGCTTGCCCTTCCTCCCCTCGCCTGGCGTTGCCTTCGCCTGTACTGCACGCAACTATAGTCCGTAGCAACTCAAGAAGATAGGGCGAGGGAAAGGAAGGCCGGAGAGGAGAAAGCAGACGGAACGCTGGAGAGAGGAGGAGGTTTCTCCCTCTCTTCAGTGTTCCGCCTGCTTCCTCATTCCCAGCCTTCCTTTCCCTCGCTCTACCTTCTTGAGCTTTCTCTTCTCCTCCCCAGCCTTCCCAGCGCTTGCCCTTCCTCCCCTCGCCTGGCGTTGCCTTCGCCTGTACTGCACGCAACTATAGTCCGTAGCATCTCAAGAAGATAGCGCGAGGGAAAGGAAGGCCGGAGAGGAGAAAGCAGACGGAACGCTGGAGAGAGGAGGAGGTTTCTCCCTCTCCTCTCCAGTGTTCCGTCTGCTTCCTCATTCCCAGCCTTCCTTTCCCTCGCCCTACCTTCTTGAGACTTCTCTCCTCCTCCCCAGCCTTCCTAGTGCTTGCCCTTCTTCCCCTCGCCTGGCGTTGCCTTCGCCTGTACTGCACGCAACTATAGTCCGTAGCAACTCAAGAAGATAGGGCGAGGGAAAGGAAGGCCGGAGAGGAGAAAGCAGACGGAACGCTGGAGAGAGGAGGAGGTTTCTCCCTCTCCTCTCCAGTGTTCCGTCTGCTTCCTCATTCCCAGCCTTCCTTTCCCTCGCCCTACCTTCTTGAGACTTCTCTCCTCCTCCCCAGCCTTCCTAGTGCTTGCCCTTCTTCCCCTCGCCTGGCGTTGCCTTCGCCTGTACTGCACGCAACTATAGTCCGTAGCAACTCAAGAAGATAGGGCGAGGGAAAGGAAGGCCGGAGAGGAGAAAGCAGACGGAACACTGGAGAGAGGAGGAGGTTTCTCCCTCTCCTCTCCAGTGTTCCGTCTGCTTCCTCATTCCCAGCCTTCCTCTCCCTCGCCCTACCTTCTTGAGCTTTCTCTCCCCCTCCCCAGCCTTCCTAGTGCTTGCCCTTCCTCCCCTCGCCTGGCGTTGCCTTCGCCTGTACTGCACGCAACTATAGTCCGTAGCAACTCAAGAAGATAGGGCGAGGGAAAGGAAGGCCGGAGAGGAGAAAGCAGACGGAACGCTGGAGAGAGGAGGAGGTTTCTCCCTCTCCTCTCCAGTGTTCCGTCTGCTTCCTCATTCCCAGCCTTCCTCTCCCTCGCCCTACCTTCTTGAGCTTTCTCTCCCCCTCCCCAGCCTTCCTAGTGCTTGCCCTTCCTCCCCTCGCCTGGCGTTGCCTTCGCCTGTACTGCACGCAACTATAGTCCGTAGCAACTCAAGAAGATAGGGCAAGGGAAAGGAAGGCCGGAGAGGAGGAAGCAGACGGAACGCTGGAGAGAGGAGGTGGTTTCTCCCTCTCTTCAGTGTTCCGCCTGCTTCCTCATTCCCAGCCTTCCTTTCCCTCGCTCTACCTTCTTGAGCTTTTTCTTCTCCTCCCCAGCCTCCCCAGCGCTTGCCCTTCCTCCCCTCGCCTGGCGTTGCCTTCGCCTGTACTGCACGCAACTATAGTCCGTAGCAACTCAAGAAGATAGGGCGAGGGAAAGGAAGGCCGGAGAGGAGAAAGCAGACGGAACGCTGGAGAGAGGAGGAGGTTTCTCCCTCTCCTCTCCAGTGTTCCGTCTGCTTCCTCATTCCCAGCCTTCCTTTCCCTCGCCCTACCTTCTTGAGACTTCTCTCCTCCTCCCCAGCCTTCTTAGTGCTTGCCCTTCCTCCCCTCGCCTGGCGTTGCCTTCGCCTGTACTGCACGCAACTATAGTCCGTAGCAACTCAAGAAGATAGGGCGAGGGAAAGGAAGGCCGGAGAGGAGAAAGCAGACGGAACGCTGGAGAGAGGAGGAGGTTTCTCCCTCTCCTCTCCAGTGTTCCGTCTGCTTCCTCATTCCCAGCCTTCCTCTCCCTCGCCCTACCTTCTTGAGCTTTCTCTCCCCCTCCCCAGCCTTCCTAGTGCTTGCCCTTCCTCCCCTCGCCTGGCGTTGCCTTCGCCTGTACTGCACGCAACTATAGTCCCTAGCAACTCAAGAAGATAGGGCAAGGGAAAGGAAGGCCGGAGAGGAGGAAGCAGACGGAACGCTGGAGAGAGGAGGTGGTTTCTCCTTCTCTTCAGTGTTCCGCCTGCTTCCTCATTCCCAGCCTTCCTTTCCCTCGCTCTACCTTCTTGAGCTTTCTCTTCTCCTCCCCAGCCTTCCTAGTGCTTGCCCTTCCTCCCCTCGCCTGGCGTTGCCTTCGCCTGTACTGCACGCAACTATAGTCCGTAGCAACTCAAGAAGATAGGGCGAGGGAAAGGAAGGCCGGAGAGGAGGAAGCAGACGGAACGCTGGAGAGAGGAGGTGGTTTCTCCCTCTCTTCAGTGTTCCGCCTGCTTCCTCATTCCCAGCCTTCCTTTCCCTCGCTCTACCTTCTTGAGCTTTCTCTTCTCCTCCCCAGCCTTCCTAGTGCTTGCCCTTCCTCCCCTCGCCTGGCGTTGCCTTCGCCTGTACTGCACGCAACTATAGTCCGTAGCAACTCAAGAAGATAGGGCGACGGTAAGGATGGCCGGGGAGGAGGAAGCAGACGGAACGGTGGAGAGAGGGGGAGGTTTTTCCCTCTCCCCTCCAGTGTTCCGTCTGCTTCCTCCTTCCCGGCCTATCTTCTTGCCCTATCTTCTTGCGGAGTATAGGCATTATCCCGCCTAAAACATGCGGCCGTGTCGTATAAACAACCTACCCGTTTTTAATCTTTTTTTTTTAATATGTATAAATACACTTATATGTTGTTTTTTTTTTTTTTTTGCTACTTATTTGTACAGTGCCCTCGCTTCCTTCGTTTACTGTGATATCTGAGAAAAATAATGGCTGGTGAGAAAGCGAATGATGAAGTTACCGAACCCTAAACGTGACGAAGCGGAAGGGGTCACGAGGAACAAGTGATGGAGACGGCGCTGCCCGCGTGGTCATTGGCAGCAAAAAAAAAAAAAAAAAGAAAGAAAAAGATTCACGCGCGGATCACGTGAAAACAAGAAGCGCTAACCAAATTAATCCAGCCGCCGCAGTGTACCCGCACGCGAGGCAGCATTAATCAGTCGCCGCGGACTGGCGAATAATAGAATACGCTCGGTCCTCTCGCGCTTCCCCGCTGTCGCGACAAGTGTACCGTGGAATAAACCCGGGCAGAAAATCGAAGATGGGCGGCGGCTGCCTCGGTTCGGCCGCGTGGCTGAGTGCTGAGGGACTTTCGGGGCCGCGTCAGCACCGCCGCATCGCTAACGCACGAGCGCGAGGCACGGAAGAAGAAAAAAAAAAACAACCTCGGGGCAGCTTTTGAACGAAGCGATCGAGCGGTTGAAAGAAAAAAATCGCTACACCTCGTCATTTGCCGCGAAAAGACAGAAGGCAGTCACACCAGCGTATGAGGCTACGCGGAACGAGACTCGGGGTTGAATCGCGAGCGCTAAGCTCGGCCTCTCGGCGTTGGCCCGGCCGTCGACGACGCCAACGACGCGAGAGCTGGAAGAGCGGGAGCCGTTTTAGAGGCGGCGCGCCCCGCCAGGTGCCGCCACTGGCGCCCGACGTGCTCCCAGCATGCCTCGCGGCGCACAATGGGGCTCCTATTCAAACACCAGTAGCGGCTCGGCGGCAGTTTGGGCTACTGCCGGGCAGAGCTCCGAGTTGGCCGTCGTCCGCTGACTCAACACTCGCGCGCCTGCCACACTCGCTCCGGCGGCACTAGCGCCTCCCGACTCTACGGTGGACGCCGAGCTTGCGCGAAGTTGCCCCGCGCGAGCACTGGGACCCTGTTCTTCGAGCACTCCACTCCGACACAGGTGGGAGTCTCTCTCGGGCACGCTGCCCTGCCTGTTGTCTCGCGGGGACGTGTGTGTGTGTGTGACGTGTGTTTGTTTGCACAAAGAGAGCGTCCCCCCCCACATCCACTCTCTCGCGTGCGCGCTCTCACACCTCTCTCCCTTGGGCTTCTGCCGCGTTGCCGATTCCCCCGGTGGCGTCGGCAGGGCAAGAAAGGAAGCGCTAACAGGCCACACCGCCGCTGGTGTTGTAAAAGGGCCGGCGAGAGGGACGCCTTGACTACTGCGACCGCCAGGCCAGCGGTACACACCGAGGCGTCTGGACGCTTCGGTTGTGCCGCTTGCCTTGAACTCGGCGTTTGTTCGCGTCTGGCCCCTCGGCGGCTGAGAAAGGGATGCCAGGTGGTGGTGCCCGCTTTTCTCCTTTGTAGTTGCTTTTGAGTTTGTTTATAGAACTTCACTTTGTGCGTCGGTGCGGTGGGGCCCGGTTGCGGCGACGGGTGTTTCCCAGGGTCGAGCAACTGCCAAACACTTCGGCGAACGCGGTCGTGGCGTTCGAGCGTGTCCTTCTCCAAGTTTGATTTCATTGTTTCGTGACATTTTGGTTGAGTGCATTCTGCTTAGTTGTCCTCGAGAACTTCCTCGAATCAGCTTCTGTAGCTGCGCGAGGAACTTCTCGTGGACACTGGCTTCTACCCTTCTTGGATGACGCGTCTTGAGTTTTGATCTTTCTACAAATTTGCGATATCTGTGTTATCTTGTTTTCTCTTTTGTCGCAATATAACGTGCCGAGTTGTTTTTATACGTTCGTAGATTGGTTCTGTTTATCAGGCGTTGGAGTTTCTTTCCTGCATATAATTAGGTTGAAGGTTTCACCGTATTGCTCTCCTGCAGAGTGGGGCAGACCGCTTATTAACCGCATCCTTTTGGGACTTCTTCGCTTCGGACCTACTGCCTACTTACTTGTCAATTCAGTTCACCCTCGCACTGAAAATCCTCACAGCAAAGGCCTCTTGTACCCAAAGTGTCTTGAAGAATGGATCGTCTGACTTCGACGCCCACAACTCGATGAGACAAATGTTTGTTGTGAAGGCTACGAGTTGCATCAAATTTAATTGTAGTTTAAGCGGACATAATTTTCGCGGACATGTGAATGACTTAATAGAATTGATTTATTGAGACTGAATAGAATTGATTCAGGGGATCGAATTGGTGCTGCACTAACTTAATTGTTACATATGTAACAGGGGCGGATTTAGAAGGGGGGTCCGGATGTCCTGACCCCCCTCTTGATTTCTGCATGTGTAAAATTTAAGGCTTGAAACGAGGGAGAGGGGGAGGGGGTTCCTGAACATAGGGTACGCTGACCAACAGCTGACCCCCCCTTCCCCCCCCCCCCCCCCCCCCCCTCAGGAAATTCCTGCATCCGCCCCTGATCTGTAACCTCTCTGGCCTGCGTAAATGTTTTCCTTCATTACAATAAGACTGCTGACCATTCTCTGGATCTTCGGTTAAGAAAATCTGCCTGCTTATTATCGCAACTTCGCCAATGAAATATACCAGTACTACTACTACTAATTATAATAATAGTGTTATTTGTATGTTTAGACAGTCTGAAGTTAGAATGGGCGTCTGGTGTCTCAGCTGTAGATGAGAAATTTAGCCAGTGCAGTGCAACCGTTAGCCTAGGGTCTTGAAAGTCTTTAACAATGACAGAATAAATACGTTCCGCATTAACCGATGAGAACCGGGCTCACTACCGATGTGCAGTCACTTTTTTGGTAGGGGTGTGTGCACACTGCTCCAAATCGAGCGCTGCTTCGTTCATATCCTTTACAGTGCAAGAGAAGGCCACGACATACGACCTTTCTCTACAGCCTCGAAGCCAGAAATGACACTTCGCTATTCCATTTGAAGCAGTGTTCGCACACACCTACTTTTTTGTCTTTGACTCAGAGCAATGATCCTTAAGTCTTTGTAGTTTAATTGGAGTGCGTTTGGCTGTTTCAACATATGCCATTCTATGTCTGCAACATTTTTGCACTTCGAAATAGACCGATCTCACTAAGCGTTCCGCGCATGCGTGACGCCGCCATAACTGTAGTTCATGGGAGGCAGGCGCCAGCAACGTTACTTTAGTCCGTTACAGTTCAAGAAGGTAGGGTGAGGGAAAGGAAGGCTTGGGAGCAAGAAGCAGACGGAACGCTGGAGAGAAGAGGCGGTTTCCCCCTCTCCTGTCCAGCGTTCCGTCTGCTTCCTCCTCTCCGGCCTTCTTTTCTCTCGCCCTACCTTCTTGAGCTGTAACGGGCTATAGGTCAAAGTCAGCTTTCGAGCTCGGTGGCGCTTGTTGCACTATCAGCCCGCCTTAAGTACACAAGCGGCAGAACCGGTGGAACGTTGGGTGCGCATTATACCTGAGGTTTAAAGGGATTCTATCGTGGTTTTGTGGTAAACATAAAATTTGCTCAAAATGCCAAATATTTTTAATCTTAACGGACGTCTTGCTGAAAGAAAGTGCCAGTAAAGTCGCAGACGTACCTTGGTCAGCCGGACGTACAACCGTCATGAATAGCAGTACGTAACCACTGTACGTACGTTTCTACTGCTTTCTGTAAAAAAGAAATGTAGTAGTAGCGATTAGAAGATTTCGTCTCGCTTTTGTGTAAGAAGTTCAGCTAAAGCTCATAGTAATTGTCATTTTAAGGGCAACACGTGATTATTTCTTAAATTAATAAGAAGAGCGGGCAACGCGGGTATCGTTTTAATTAGTAGAATACTTGAACTCGCGCCCAACATCCGAGTACACTGAAGAAAAAAAAATACATAGGAAGTCATAAAATACGCGGAATGAAAGCATAATCTCGTCGGTGGCATTGGGCAAAAATCCCAGCGTGGAAGGTTCACTTTGCAGCGCTGTAACTTCGAAGGAAACAAAATGATGCAACATGTTTTTATGAATAATTACAAGAGTATGGTGGAGAACTGCCACTATAAATTTCAGGTAAATCGCAGATGTTTTTTTTAAATCCCCCTTGAAAAGTTTTAACTTTGTAATTTAGAACAAGTTTGGAGGGACACGAAAGTTTCAGTCTGTGAGATAAAGCAATGATCTTTATATTCGAAATAGCGTTTTAATAACAATTATATGGCAGACATTTTAATATTGAAGCTGTCCTTTTTGTAGATACGGGCTCAGAAATCTAGTGACAAAACGTCAAAGGAGCCATGTATGCGCATTTTGTGACGCGAAATATATGACCTGCACAATACTGTGCATATATCACTCAATAGTTCCCATAATAAGTGAAAAAAAAAAAATATTTGAGATTTCTGATATTTGTAGTTTGCGTAGTGTCACCAAACATGACATAAACGAAAACTTCAAACATCGAATTTTTCTCTTTAAATAATATGTTTTTTTACATCTTTTTTTATTCCGTTTTCTGCACATTTTGAGGAGTAACACTTAAAAAAATTAACAAAAACAAAAAATACGTCCGGTCTCGTGTGGTTGATCTTATCTGAACAGAGCCTGCAGCGTTTGGGGTATACCTACTTGAAGAAGGCGCGGCAGGTGCCATTCCTACTATACCTGAGCCCTCCGTGCTATGCAAATTCATTATTTTGCGTATATATATATATATATATATATATATATATATATATATATATATATATATATATATATATATATATATATATATAAAACTGAGAAGAAAAAAACCCTTAGTGAAAAACAGCAACAACGGACGATTTAATCTTCGACGTTTCGGCCGGAGTCCGGCCTTCGTCAGCTTCCTGACGAAGGCCGGACTCCGGCCGAAACGTCGAAGATTAAATCGTCCGTTGTTGCTGTTTTTCACTAAGGGTTTTTTTCTTCTCAGTTTTATACCCACGCCTTCGGCCTCCCGCCACCATGCCCGTTATATATATATATATATATATATATATATATATATATATATATATATATATATATATATATGTATAATTTTTTTTTTAAGTAAACACCGGATATCGCGACTACGGCCTTAGTGAAAGGGTACGTCCAATCTGTAAATTAAAACAAAACCACCAAATGTTATTTTTGCGATGTGACTAGGTAGAGAAAGCTCTTTTCGCTCATTTGTCTGCACTCTAAAAAAATGCCTGCGCGTCTACTTGCCCGCAATGCACTCAAAGAGCCAATCTCTGCAATCTATGAAATCAGCTCAGCGAATGATGAGGTGGAACATCTGATTAGACCTCAAAATCAAGTCTGCGCTGGTTCATTACGCAATGCAAGCATGACGCTTTGTATTGCGCAATACCACAGCGCAGACTTCACTTTTTACGTCTAAGCAGATGTTCCGCCTCATGATTCGCTGAGCTGATTTCGTAGATCGCAGAGATTGGCTCTGTGAGTGTTTTGCGGGCAAGTAGACGCGCAGGCATTTTTGAGAGGGTGGAAAATATTATCTTATTACATGCACCCGTGATCACAGTTCTTCTCTATTGGGGCTGCATAAAATTTCACTGTAATTTTCCTTTGTTGCCATTTGCTGCTTGAAAATGCCGCATTCTAGTGTCAGTGAAGTCGAAACAAATTACGCAATGCGGAAATAACTTCGCAAGTAATTGAATTACATTTCGAAATATTTTTACTCTACTCAAGATACTTTGCAAGGAAAGTAACTTGATTAGCATTCTGAATACTTTATGAAGCAGGTATTTAATAACTTATCTTGAATATGAATGTCGAGTATCTTGTCCAACAATGATTTTATACCCGGAAATGAGCGGACCTGAGCAGTCCCGCGCGTACACTTTACCGGAGAGCCGATTGGAGGCCAATCAGTGGGGACTCAGGAAAAGAGAGCCTATCAAATGCTGAGGAAATGTCCGAACAGTGCACTGTATGAAATCTGGCGCTTCTGCGAAACCCGCCAAGCACTGGGGAAAGCCGGTCGCACCAATAGGAAGCTCGGCGAATGACGGGGATTAAAAATCGATGTTAACCTCTGGCAAAAAAAGAAAAAGGT